GAGTGAGTTCTTGACAACCAACTTATTAGCGAGTCTGGGATCGATTCGGAAGTTTGATTCGATTCAGAGGATTCGATTCGAATCAACGTCACCGGTTGCCTTAGGGGTAAGGTTAACCGAGCCTGTTGTTGTTGGTGGAGGAGGAGGATCGATCGTTCGAAGAAGAGGATCGGCCGACAATGGGATTTCGTCGGTCGTCAGGAGCTTAGTTCAGAAAACAACAAATACGTATGGGAATTGTTTTCTGTACTGTGCTGTGGAAGACCGGAGACGTCTTCTTGTGGTCAAATTCTTCCAACTTGGCTGTCGGCGGTCGAGAATAGAAAACCTGCCCGATCTCGTAGGATTTCAATTGGGATGGCTTTCTAATCTGAACCGGGGAAGGCCGCTTTGATAGTCGCTTGATAGGAGAGGTGCGCTTGATAGGAGATACCAGAGGAGGTGTCGATCCTGTCAATCGCAGGGCTTGAATGAGAGATAAAGAGAGGAAAAAGGGGTGTATGTTTTCCGTGATGACGTTGAGTTGAATCCTATAGTAAAACAGTACTCTTCAACAAGATAACAGAAAACAGGCTTCCTGAGGTCCTTTCGCTTCGTTTCAATGCTTCTAATGGTGCTAATAGGTAGTGTAATGGTATAGGTATGACCGATTGGTTGTGTTTGTTGCTATTAGTGTTGTTGTTCTTGTAGTGATAGATCCAGAGGGGAAGCGCTTCGGTGTTCGGCTTCCCGTGAAAAAGTAACGTCGGGGATCCTAAGAAAAAGAATTCCTGTACACTTCATTGCCTGACAATGATCGATCCCGTAACCGGATGGTTCGAGATTGCTGAGATCTGCTCCAAGGCAGCAGACGAAGTAGCCATCGTTCTAGAACAAACGTGGCTTACTCGGTATCCATGGCCTGCTGAAGTTATCATGGATAGAGGACACGAGTTCCGCGCAGAAGTCGAGAAGACTCTCCGGGATGAATATGGACTTCGTCGCAAGTTCATTACCACACGTAATCCTCAAGCCAACTCGATGGTCGAGCGTGCTCATCAGACCATTCGTAACTTGATAGCTGTTCAAAATATCAAGTGTCAAGACGACCTCGTGAATGGATCCTGGGATGGAGTCCTCACGGCGGTTCGGTTCGCAATGAATGCCACGATTCATACCACCTTGCGTGCAACGCCTGCACAGCTCGTGTTCAATCGTGACGCGATTCACAACGTCCGTTTCGAAGCAAACTGGAAATACATCAAGGAACGTCGCCAACGACTTATCCAAAAAAACAATGATAGGGAGAACGCGACGTGTGTCCCTCAGCACTACAATGTCAATGATACTGTGATGATTCACCAGTATCAGCACCGCAAGTACGGTCAGCCAAAGCACAAAGGTCCTTACACTATAGACCGAGTCAATGACAATGGCACTGTACGGCTCCGACATGTTACCGCTAATGGCGGCACAGTCTACCAGACTTGGAACATAAAGTATTTACACACATACAAGGCTTGATCACCTTGTAGGATTGCCATCGTGCGAAGCACATGTCTATATCCAATCTCTGGGGAGTGCCCCACACTTTAAATCATATGTTCTCCTTGTCCGACTGCTGTCGTGCCTTCTGTGACCCTTGTCAGGGGGCGAATGCAATACGCAGCTCTTAGCCTTATTCGCGACTCGATCCTAGATAGGGTTTGAGTTCGACTCATGATTGAGTCTCTCGTGAATAATCATTGAGACAGGGTTCTCAATGACCGTTCTAGTCATACTAGGTCGATGATGAAACATCGCGCTAGATATTTAGCCAGCGTGGAGAGTTTCCACGCTACTAGATCCATGCTAGACGAATCTTCCACGCGTTCCGTTTTTGGATCGTGGAGTACGTAGGATTGTTACCACAACCTACGCTATTACACTTTACAGTCTCCCGCGGAGTTCAGATCTACGATCCCTTGATGATGATCTCTCTCGTTGATTAATTTTCATGGCTTTCTAATCTCTCTCATAATTTACATTCTCTGAACAACAAACTCGAAAGATCTTAACACTAGCTTTTAGCGTAGTGCACTAGCCAATAACAGTATAAAAGCAATCGCGTTAACTTCACTTCCAGCTGCAGTCCGTAGTCTTAATAGGTCTAGCAACTAGGTAGCAAGCATTCGAAGCATCTGAATCGGTCAAACAACGGCGCTGAACAGCTCTGAACATCATCATGGAGTTGTCGAGTTCTGATATTGGTATCTTGTCGGTGTGGCAAATTAAGGCAGCTGGGCTGCCCGAAACCTGAGTGGGGATATATTGAAAGAGGAACTTCGGAAGGTTCTCAAGCAGACTGCAAAGGGAGGTTACACCAGTGTATTTTGATGGTGGGCTTGAAGTCGGCTTCGATGACCCAAACTTAAAAATGTTCTACCCTGGATGGAAAAAACCTTGGCAGTCTATCTGCCTGAGTTCTCAACCCCTTTATTACTATTCCGTTGAAGCCAATATATAGGGATAGAGATAGTCATAAGCCAACCAAACTGAAAATCAAAGGTTTTACACATTTAGGGGTAGGAATAAATCATGATTATTCAAGGTTAGTGCACTCAACACAATAAGCCAGCAGAAGCTACAAAATTTACTGTTACATAAGGGAATGACAGCTTTATAATTATGGTTAGCGGGCGGCAACACACGACGAAGTCGGGTGTTGTCGCCAGGGCTAGCCTAAATAAAAAAGAAGGTTATAATGAGGGAATGATGCCGGGCGGCAACACACGACGAAGTGGGGTGTTGTCGCCAAGGCTACCTTGAAAGATGGGTGTAATCTCAAACATGTCATCCTTCTTCTATCTGTCTTTCTGCCGAGGTATCGCAGCTCCCGCTGACCTAACCGAAAAATTCTCAAGTCATGGTGTAGTTAGAATTGTATCCATGGACTGACAAAAAATCAGAGGTGTTTTGTACAAGAAACCAGCCTATCCTTTTTGTGCCTGCTTTTCTTCCCGTCCGTCGTCCAAAAATCAATACGTCAGCCAGCTGAAGAGGTTGATCGCAGACTTAACCGGGGGGTCTATTCAGTAGCTTTACCAGAGAGCACTTGATGAGACTAAGGGAGCGAAATGTGGATCAAAACCGAAACACGAATGAAGACTCCAGTGCCGAAAGTGAACCCGAAGTGGACAACACAACATTTGGAGAGAGAAATTATTGACGCCAGTACCAGGCACTTGCTAGATGGTGGAGACGATGAGATCGATTACATTCTGGAAAGTTCCGGGTGTGAAGAGGGGGCACTTGGCTCCCAGATATGAAAGAGCTCAGCCAACCAAGCAAACCGTTCTTTGAAATTTTCGAACTGGCTACAGTAAAATACTGTGAAGGCAATAAGTGGAACTCACAGCGGCAAGATCTGTTTTGATGGAATCAGAGACGAGAGAGGGAGAGACAAAAATTACATTGGCGGATCCTATATATGTACCCTAGTATTGACTTCATTTGCTTTGAGCTGTGTTGACATGTTAACACAGCCATGGCAATCGACTGCAAGTTGATTTGATTCAATTCAATTTCAGTCATACGGTATCGATTTTGCGACACAATGAGATTCCATTCGTTTGGATTTGAATTCTAGAAATCCGCGATTGCCAAGGTCATTGGTTTCGCCACAGCAGCAATGGTACCAGGTACCGGTACTATACCGGTACATGTACGGTATGGGCAGCAATGGTACACGTAGACCACTGGTGCATGCCATGTCACCAGAATAGTCAGTTTGAACTATTATTTCGAACAATGCGGCAGATGGGGCAGGGACCAGCACCTGAGAGTCGAGTCCGCCCACGTGCTGATCAATGACATGCGACAAGGATATCCAGAACATCTGAACCTATAACAAAATGGAAAAGAGCTAGCATTGCCTCTTCATTCTCCGTCTCAAAAGGAGCCTGAGCACCACAAAATTGAGGCTGCCGAAATCATGAGCCCTCAACGAGTTTGAAATGGAATCCAATCATTGGGCCGGTTGGCTACAACGTGTAACTAGATAGCTAGTACTGCCACCGCTGCTAGCTCAAGTAGATATATTAGAGCCTGTTTCTAGCTAAGGTAATAAACAGTTGGCTGTTTGGGTAGCCAAGATATTAGGCTCTCCTAGCTGGCTAGGTGAATAATGAACAGTTGGCTGCTTGGGAGCTACGGTAACTATTAATAGCAGCTACTCCAGCTAGCTAGCCAGCCATCTGTTACTCTTTTAAATTTTGGGAGGCTACTTTTATAGGGTTAGGGCTAAAAACTGTGACAGACAAAGGGACAAACGGACAAACAGACCCATACAAATAAAATTCACAAGGGCCCTACATCCATTGAGGGCTATCAGCAAGTCGCATCATCTGGTTCCGCTCCGCCACAACGACAAGACAAGATGCACGGAGCATGCCACCTCGATCAATCAACGGAGACTGCTAAGAGCGGTAGCCTGCCCCGAGCTGGTGCATGGGCCATGTTTCCACAGAGCCAGCCAAACTTTATCCCAGACGCTCTCATAGCTACTAGCTAGTACAAGCTCCAGTATGCTTTTATTTTTAATGATCACTGCTTGTGGTTTTGTGGTCCTGTAAGTGTGACGTTCTCTTTCTTTCGCTTCGCCCTTTGGCTGGCTTGACATTGCGAAGACATACTAGTACTAGCTCTATCAACGCCGCGAGAAGAAGGTCCGAAGAATAGTTGCTAGTTGCCGGTAGGCCCAGGGCTGGTTGGTTGAAACGACAAGGACAATTCAATTCCTTGACAAGGCATGGCCGCTCACGTTGTCGCCATTGTTTTGGTCTCGTTGCAGTTGCCCGGCCACCATAGGCGCCCTATTGTACCGTATTGTTCAAAGCGCGTCAAAGGTAAAGAACAAAGGCTTCTCAACACCAATATTCTGAGATTAATCTTGTTTACGTCTAGTAGCTAGCTAGAGGTCGAGGTGTTGGCAGTAATCACTCTTTACTAGTAGTAGGGTTTATGCATGCTGATTTATGTATTTACGAAGCCCTAAATCCCAACCCAACAAATTCCATGGTCCCAAATCCACCCTCGACCGGGCTAACAACCCGGCAATGGTCCGCAGGGCAAATAACAAAGTCACAATCGTACTTGACGACCAAATTTGTGCAGCAAGCCAAACAGCACGTGTTGAGGACACGTCCTTCTCGTACAGCTTCCAAAGTCTCTTGGCTCCCTCGCAGCGGCAACGAGAATCCAGGCTGAATCTCGACCGTGACCATTCTTTGGGGCGGCTTTTGTGCAAAGGCCCCAACGCGGCAATCATCATCGTCGTCATCATTGCCACGCCTCTTGAGGCCTACCGGTGGTGGTAGTTTTCGTTGCCGAGAAGAATCCTTCCTTTCCAGGGGATACCGGTACGAGCCATCATCACTGGTCTGCTCGGCAAAGGCTCCCACGCGAATGTCATGGCTGGACTCGTACTGGTACAGGTAGTTCAGGCTGATACATGTACTTGGTTCCGATCCGCTGCAGACACTGGTTGTTGTTCCCTTGAGACTGTGACGCGGTAGCTTTCTACTACTACTAGACGAAATAGAATGATGGGGCAGTTGTTTCTTCTCCATCCCACGGGTAGAGCTGTCCTCCTCTTCTGACTTGCAGAGATGCAAGGGCTTGCGCTCGCTGTGCATGGATGCGGCGCAGTATGTGTAGGGGGGATCCCAGCTGACCTTGGAGATATCAGAGCAGTGGTCGCTTTCTCCTTTCCGAAATCCGATTTCGTTTGGGTTCTTGAAGGACGAAACTGGACTACCGGTACAGGGACCACCTGCGGCTGTGTTCTTGTTGGTGGTGACAGATTTAGTCAAAAACGTAGATCCCGAGTCCCAACGCTGATGGGCGGTGCTGAGCAAGTGCGGAAACTTGGCCTTGGGGATCGTTCCTGAGGGAGACATCTCTGCAATTGCGGCCTTCCTCGCTTGCACTGCCGCTTCTTCTTGAGCTTGCTCTTGCTTGCGTGCACGTTCTTGTAGTTCCTTGCGGGCCCGGGCTTGCCGACGAGCGTCCTCGTACCTATGGATCGGTCGACGTTCTTCCTCTTCTTTTGCTCGTCGATGCTCTTCCAGCTCGTTCATTCGTCTTTGGTCTTCTTCTTCGTCTTCTTCTTCATAGTAGTCGCCGCGTTGGATTACCGGCTGAGGAGCAGCCGACCAGCGGTCGTAGTACCGGTCGGATTCAACTTCGCCAAAGAAGCTTGGAACTTCACTGTGATAGGACTGCTTATGCGGAAGCGGTGAGCTACTGGTAACCTGAGGGTACAGGCTGGATTTCTCACCGCTACCGAGGGCCTGGCTGTCATGGTAGTAACTGTAGCTGTTTCCTTGAGGTCCGCTGATCTCATGATGATGGTGCTTGTATGCCATCGCCTCATAGTAGGACTCATCGTAGGTTCTCGACACCATCTTGCTTAACTAAGTTGCTTTGGTGGCTTTGTTGCAGCTTGTGGTTTTATGATGGGTACTCGAGTAATGGAGTTGCCTTGCTTGAATTTGTGAACGACTCGTACGATGTATGCACAGCTGCAGCAACGCAGCAACCTTCCCCAAAACGTGGAGGTGATCAAATGAAAGAGGGACAGTTGCCGTTTAAATTCTGAGCACGCAAAAGGTGGTACTTTGTATGTGTACTGGTACTGGCCACGTACTGTACCGGTACAGTACAGTACATAGCAAGTGGGTACTCCAGTAGTTTCCACCGCCATCCACCAATCACAACGATGTTAATTAAATACTCAGTACCGTATCCAGATCTACACGTGCCCCATCAGCTTACCCCATCGTACAATAATCAGGCTGGGACTTGTAAAAGAACACAAGACATAACGAGAAGAGGCCTTTTAACCTTGAGACATGCAATGAAGATTTAAAAACAAATATAAAGCATTGGATCGCTTTCTGAGTGGTGGACCGTCTATTAATTCAGCGATGTCTTGCCTTCGCTTGAATTTCCCCTTTGGCATTAGAACTCGGGGTCGGATTAAATCATGCTTGGATCGCTCATGAACAGCTCATGAACACTCACTGGTTATTCCTTCGTGCGAGGCTGTTGTCTCCCAAACTTTCGCAACCATACATTCGTACATTTGTACGATCCCATTTCTGCTCATGGCATTCAGCAACCGAAGTCGGGGCTCTTCCATTTCGCTAGAGTATAGATGAATGGCTTGTAGGATTTGGCAACAGCTTCGGCAACTACATCGTACAACTTGGCAAGAGGTTTGGCAACTTTAGAAATGTACTACCGGTAGTATGACACCCGTGTATGATACACTGTACGATCCCAATACTCCTGCTTGCTAACTGGTCGTACAGTATCGTCAAAGTACTACCGCGAAGTAATCTTAACCTGCGGATGTGATGGTGTGTTCTTCAGGTGTGCTCTCGGGTTCCCCATAGTTTTGCTTCCTTTCGCTGGCCAGCTGGCAGCTATCATAGCCAGTAGTACTACCGGTATACGGTATACGGTAGACCTGTGCAGATGTCAACAATGTTTGCTGACTGTTGACTGTGCATCCAGGGCTGGCTACCGTACCGTACGGTAGGTGCAGAAGTGGGCACGGTGGAGTTTTCGATTGTGATTAAACATATCATACCAGCACGCAAAGGCAGGTTCTCACGACCAGCATTGTTCGTACGGGTAACTAAGGTATGTATGCATATTGCATATGTTACCTATTGCTGCTTGATGGCTGGTTGTTCACTTACATGTATGTATAGTCCTTATTATTACGGTCATCATGCATTACCTAGCTAGCTAGTGTCCGCTGTTCGCGCAATTCCGGACTGTCTGCCATTGCCATGTAGGCTGGCTCAATTAATTAGCAAACTCGTGCTGTTTGGTACCTTACTGTAGTACATGTATGCAGCTAGAAAGCTAGAGAAGCACCGGAATCAACAATCCCAAGAGGAGCAAGACCAAATTGTACTTCCACACGAACCGTCCAAAACGCCTGGATAGTCCAAAAAGTGAGGGCCTGCTACCACTACTGGCACTGGCATTTAAATTTCCTCCATTGGCAACTTCATCGTTGTCGCTTGCTGGGGCGGTGGCTTCTCCTTCGTCTGCGTCCTGAGTTATGTCAGTGCTGAGAGCAGAGGATGGGGCAACAAGCTTGACGAGAATTTCCTCCCACTGTACAAGTGGAAACAAATGTGCCGTATCATTGAGGATGTGCAGGGTACTGTTTGGCAAGATGGAATGTTGATAGACACCTTGATTGAGCGGTACATTCTGGTCAATTTCTCCCTGCCAGACATCAATGTGGACCATGGGGTTGATATCTTGGAGTCGAAACTCCCAGGGACGGTTGATGACGAGATCGTCTTGTGCCGGACCGGGTGCCCCCTGACGGTAGCCCTCTTTAATGTTGCCCCCCATGAGAGTCTGAAGATCGGGACGTCGTGCAACTTCCAGGTCGTCCAATCCCACACCACCCGATCCCAACAACATTCCAATCTGGGAGGCATTGGACGCCTGCAAGAAGGGAGCGAGTTGTCCTCTGAATTCCAAAATGGCCGTTTCATTTTGATCGCGGGCCCATTCCATCCACATTCGAATTTGCGGTTCGTCCATTCCTTCAAAAGGATTGGGACGATCGAACGGTCCAATGCCACTGAGAATGGCGCCACCCAACACACGTCCCGAGTTTCCAAATTCGTGTGCCACTGCCAATGCGTAACTTCCCCCGGCCGACCAACCTTCAATGTAGAATTGGTCTACACTAATGTGATCCAGTAGTTGCGTCACATCCGTGCGAGGCCAGTCCAGCAGTGTGCGACCATCGGGCACGGGATCCGAAAACCCATGCCCGGGACGATCCACCGTGATAAAGCGAATGCCCAATTCCTTCAACAGTTCTTCATTGCCCGGCCATTCGAGTCGGGATCCACCGGAACCGTTGCAATGCAACACCACGGCAGTGGCTTCCTCGGCACTGGCACCAAACTCGCAGTACGCCAACGTGCGGCCGTCACTGAGCTCTAACGTAGGAGGAGCGTCAAGGCAACGTTGGCCGGCAGAGTCTTCCTCCATGGCCTGACCTTGCGACAAGGACAAAGTCAAGAGGAAGAACAACAGCAGCAAGTAGTGGGATGGCAACGACATTATGATTTTGATTGATTGCTTTCGTGATTTTCGTATGTTTGTGTTTTGTAGTTTGTAGTTTGTGTTTTGTGGGCACATGATGTTGGTTGTCGGCGATTAGTCGTTCTGTAATTCAAGCATGCTCTTGCTTTGCATCAACGCAATCATGCAATCATGCTTGGGCTCAAGTCAAGCTCTACAATGTCGCCTATTTGTAACGAAAGATCTTAGTGCACTTTCCACTCTTGGTGAAGATGGATTCTCATTCATGATGTGCTCTTGGTGCAGAATAGTTCTCATTCGTCTCCATGGCATTGAAGCACAAAGATCAGGCATTTTTGGGAGGCAGCTGTTGGAGGAGCAAAGCACGCAATGGGAACTGGAGTTGGATCTTGTGGACGGCCGTAAGCCACCCAGCGTTTCGTAAGACCAAAGGTGTCATTCGTGTTAGCTAAAGTACGACTTGACTGGCGCTCAAAGAGAACTCAAGCACCGCAAGAAGCAAGCATGAATTGAAAAACAGAATGACACAGGATGCAGGATGGACGAGAGGTGCAAACCCCAAAAGGCATCAGCCACAATTTCACCCTTGCCCCTACAGTAGTCGTACCATCAACATGAATGCTGTGGTTGTCATTTTGATTTCCGTCCGCGCTCTGCAAAAACTCTTCCGTATGTAAAGGAAGCAAAGCAGGGTCCGGCAATTGCTCACGTGCTTGACGGGAGCAATGCCCTCCGGAGCGCTGGTGAGGTCCAAGACGTATCCTCGGATCAGATCGAGTGGATCCACTGTTTGTCCCTGGAATATGTCCGCTTTGTGCAATTGCGGCTTTCCAAAGACGATCGTACCGGTATCCTCGAAGTGTTTCCTGAGTGACTACGAGGAACAAGGAAAACGAGAAGCACTTGCCCAGGTCGAATGCCTACTGATAGTTTACGTAGCGTGGGACCAGGCCTTGGCATTGGAAGCTACGGGCTATTGACTAGAAGAAGGCGCCGAAGCGAAGCTCCGTTTTGTCGCCAGCTTGCAACACTTGCTTTGTGCGCGTGATCGTATCACTCCTCTGAATCAAAAGTGACTCGACTCATCACCAACACCAAAAACAGACAAACAGATAAACCAAACGAACAGGAGCACCGAACGCCACCGTCCTTGCTCTCACATTGATCGTTGCAATTAGACTATTCTGGCTGAAACTGTCATCCTCCAGATCCTCCAGATCTTTGTCTCCGTCGCGGTGGTGAGGATCTTGAGTGCAATGTTGTAGAAGTAATCATCTGCTGGACCTGGAGGCTGGAGGTACATTGCGCGAAGGCTTTCTGCTTTCAAGCGAATGAATCAAGATCTCCGCTTTGTCCAAGGGTAAACGTCAAGTTGTCAAGTTCCCTCCAACCCGGTTGATCGAACACCACCGAAACCCAAAAGTAAAGCAGTGAGGCTGCCAAGTACCGGGAGAAACATAACACGGCGTACCAATACATGAGATACATGTATCTTTTCTCGGATTAATTAACAAAAAAAGGCAAGCGGGTTCCGTACAGTACATGTACTTGGTTAGAAAGGCTATCTAAAAAAGAGGAAGCCAAAGAGCAACAGAGGAAGCATACTACAGTGTAGTAGTTTGTTTCAGCAAACACCGGTACTAGCCAGATCTAGTATCGCCTCCAAAACCTGAATGAGAGGTTGCGACGTTGCGATACCTTTGAAAGATTAATGTTCAGCCATCCTTCCGCAAAGGGCTCCATTCCTGACCCGACTACCGGTAATGCAGAGAAGCAGAAACGATACTAAAGTGCAAGCAGTACTCGAGAGTATAGTGTATGGATATGTAGCCATCTCTAACTCCTGGCTTATAGTGAACGAATAGTGCAACTCACTTACTTTTCGTCGAATAAGCGGCTGTGGATCATCTGAAGAACCCGATGCCCCAAGGGGAAATTAGAGCCTCCGCATTTGATCTCCTCAGCAAGCTCCTGCAATCAGGCAAGCTGCTGGTGTTCCGAACACTGGCACCAAAAGTTGAACATGTTGTGCAGCAACTCGAGGCGATCCCTTCCCAGTTCAGTTGCAAGGGGTAGATAATCAATCAACAGCTCTTCTCCATCAGCAATGTCTCTCTTGGCAACCACATACACCTTTCCCTGATGAATCGTTCGGTTCACATTGGCAGCATCGCCACAGGCATGATTGATCCTACAGAGCTCCTTGAAGAGAAGGTTTGCTTCCAAGGAGCCGTCGTGGTATGCATTGGTACGCATAATCCCGCCAAGTGTTTTGAGATTGCACGGCTTGATGGATCTCAAAACAGACTTGCTTTTGCTCTTCTTGTTGTTCTTGGCCCCCATTGCAACCATCACACCAAATCGGTTCTCGTCCTTCTCATCCTTCTTGGATATTTCGCCGTACTTGCCATTCAGCTTTTTGCCTGCCTCGGAAGCCAGACCATGAATTTTGACAGTATCACCTACCCGTGCTTGACGGTGGGAGTCTTCAAGCTGCCAAATCTCATCTTTCTGCTTTGACCCTTGCACGTAGGCTGTGGCATTGAGCTCTGCCAAACGGCCCACTGCGTCTTTATGAGCAGTACTACTACACGTGCTACTAGCAGCACTCGTACTGCCGCCATCCAGAATTCCAATCAAGGACTGATACTCAGGATCCACAGAGAGAGAAGGATGGTTCTTGGTGGGCTGAATGTGCAACGCCTTCTCAATGAGTACTACTGCACCTGCTTGAATGTGATTGACGGCCACAACATGCGTTCCTCGCAGGTTGCTGTGAGCCATCTTGAAGTAAGTCGCCTTCTTTCGGTTGTAGACGACTTCCATCATTGGAAGCAACTGGACCATTGCGGACATGTTCTGAGATTTTCCTCTAGCTAGCTGGACCTAGCTAGCTACTAGTAGTAGCTGGCTTGGGCTGGGTCTTCCTTTCTGTCTTTCGCAATTACCGGTCGGTAGCAGACTAGCTAGACTACTACTATTGAATGACATTCATCGTCGCTGTTGATTGTTGATGCACGCACAATGCCTTGCCTTGCATCGACCGATCAACAACAACAGCTGCGCAACAGCTGTGAAAGCATTCTCAATCCACGGTAGGATTACAGACTCCACGGCCGCGTTGCGACTTGTTGACCACGTTGTTGTTCCGACAACACTATTTTGGTCTGTCAGCGTGTACGGAACCAACATTCCACGTGGAATAATGAATCATTGGAGAAGGGATGCAAGTTGGCACGGTCCTCGTCTTTCCTTCTCGTGCGAGTGCAGTCTCCACATGATGCACCCGGGCAACAATTCGGTACCGTCGCAATGAAAGGGCCTTCCTGTTCTTGGGTGTAGGCACGAGGCAAGAGGATGACTCATGCCGCGTCTATGCATAGCTAACTAGACTTGGCTCTGAGCATCAGGCGTCGACCGTAGAAGTTTCTGATGGGAAT